GGAATCCCAAGGTGGCTGGGGCCAAGTGGCAGCACTGGACTGCCAGAGACAACAAGCATAGAATTTGTGTAATGGGTAGCAGATTTGAAGCAGTGATAAGAATGATTTCACCTACAGAGAATGTTGTCATTGGCTACTTGATCATGGTAGCTCAAGGACTGAAATTCATGAGGAGCTTGCTATAAAGTCTTACTTGATGTGTAGAAATGGAAAGGAGAGTCTGGTGAACAGAAGTTTAACTTGGATCATTAGAGAATTTATTTCCATTTGTGAGCCAGTTCATACTTTCAGGGTTCTTTGGATGAAGGGGAACCAGGTTCCTTTAGGGAAGGACTCTGCGCTGCCAAAAACTCATCTAGTATATTTTTCTCTAGCTTTCTCCAAAAGGATTTGTGGCCATTTACAAGGGTGCACTGAAAAAAGGGGAAGGTACCATCCTATTAAGGAATTATATGACGCTGGTTCTGAGCTGCCAGGAAGTCCTAGAGACACAAGATACCACTCTGATCCACCAGTCAAACGAGGGACTTTGGAGATCAAGATATTAATTATATTTTAGGTTGAGGATCTCTCCCTGGGAGACCACTGGGTTCCCAAATCCACCCTGGGGTTATTTCCCAGTTCCGGAATGTTTAACTTGAATAGGCACACTAAACAATTGGCACAATACCCTTGTTGATTTCTTGACCCATGGATTGAGGGTTTTTATTGGTAAGAAAGGTCAAGGGAAAAGAATCTAGAGGAGCCTCTACTTATAAATACAGTGAGCCAAAGACAACGTCACCTTCCTCGAAGAGTTTCAAGATTAATGCCATATCAAAAACTTGAGAATGTAGAAATGATGATTTCTAGCATATTCCCATTCAACTCTCCTATTTAGCCTGTGCAGGAGAAGACAGATGTTGGAGAAAGTCTTAATCATGTGGTACATTTAATTGCGGCAGCTGTCTCAGATCTGGTTTCATCACTGGAGCAGATAAAAAAAATTCCCTGTCATACATTTACTGATTTGGTGAATGGTTTTTTGTTTGTCTGTTTGTTTGTTTCCTTGCCTATTGCTAGAGACCACCAAACACAGTTAGCTTTCATGTGGCATGGCTAGCAAGACATTTTCCCTATTCTACTTCGGGGATGTAGCAACTTTCCTGCTCTCTGTCATAATCTAATCAAGGGTCCTTGATTATCTCTTCATTTCACAGAACATTCAATTGTTCCACTATGTAGATGACGTATAATGACTGTACCCGGTGAGAAGAAAGTGGAAACTACCCTAGACATCTTGATAGTGCACATGTATACCAGAAGGGAGTAAATAAATTCCAAAATATTAAAACACCTGTACCTCAGGACAATTGTTTAAGGTTATGATAATCTGGGGCATGTCAAGATATGTCCTTCCAACGTCAAAGATAAATTTTTGTATCTGGCTCCTCCTACCATATAGAAAGAGACTCAGTGTTCCATAGGACCTTTCACATTATAAAGATCACATATATCTTATTTATTGAGTACCTTGAAAAGCTGCAATTTTGAGTGAGACCCAGATGAAGAAAATTCAGGACTGAGACATATCACACAGCAGGTCTAATGATACTTGAAATGTCTGTCCTTCAGTTAACAAGTCTCTTTTTGCGATACTTCTGGCTTGCTATTCGATCCCACAAGAGCCTGAACTATCATTATGGGTGATCAAATTATCATTTAATCCGACTTGCCCATCATAAATTGGGTTTTTTCTGACCCATTAAGCCCTACATTGGGGTACATAGAGCTTCATTTCACCACTAAATGGAAGCGGTATATACAAGATCAAGCTTGAGCACATCCTGAAGGCACAAACAAGTTGGATTTGCAATGACACAGATTCTCAGGGTGTCTACTCCTCTTATATATTCTCTTATCTTTCAACTCGCACTTACTGGCTAACCTACTGAGGGAAAAATTTGTTTGGATTTTCAGATGCTTCTGCCTGGTATACTGACACTATCTGAAATAACAAATGATTTTGTTTATAGGGAACATGATTTGGTGTCAAAGAGATCTGCAGAAGTGGTATATGGAAAAACATCTCCAAGTGTACAGTGTGAAGATATCCGTGTCTTAATGTAAGTACTCAACAAAAATCATTCTTAACAGAGGGGAGCTTAGTAACTGGATGGTCAAGATAACTTATTTTGTAGATGTCAGTCACCGGTCACCTTGTTTGTGCCCAACAGGCACATAAATGAAATGTTCATTGGTTCAGCAAACTGGGCTTTTACTTACCGCAGACAATCTGGTTAGAGCTATTTCTGAGTGCCCCACATGCCAATAGTAGAGGCCAACACTTGGTTTTAGTATGGCATTATTCTCCAGGGGTCCCAGCCAGTGACCTATTGGCAGATTGATTATATTGAGTAGCTTCTATAGTGGAAGAGGCAGTGCATTTTTTTTTTTCTGGAATAGATATTCTGGCTATGATTTTGTTTCCTCATCCCAAAATGCTTCTTCTAAAACCATCATCCTTGAACTTTCAGATGCCTTATTCACTGTCATAGTTCACATAGCATTGTTTTTGACATGGAAATTAAGTTTACAGCAAATAAAATGTGGCATTGGCACATGCTAATAAAATTTATTGATGTTATTATGTCCCCATCTAATATGATTTTGCTGTGTCCCCACCCAAATCTCATCTTGAATTGTAGCTCCCATAATTCTCATGTGTCATGGGAGGGACTCGGGTGGAGATCATTGAATCATGGGGGTGGTTTCCCCCACATTGTTCTCGTGGTAGTCTCACATGATCTGATGGTTTTATAAGTGGGAGTTCCACTGCACAAGCTCTCTTGTCTGCCACCATGTAAGATGTGCCTTTCTCCTCCTTTGTCTTCTACCATGATGGTGAGTCCTCCCCAGCCATGAGGAGCTGTGAGTCCATTAAAGCCTTTTTTGTTTATAAATTATTCAATCTTGAGTATGTCTTTATTAGAAGCATGAAAACTGACTAATACACCATCAACCCGAAGCAGCTGACCTGATGGGTTAAGTGGTTTTTGGAATATTCAGTTATGGCACTGGCTGGGTGACAATGCTTTGAAGGCTGGGATAATGTCCTCCAGGATACAGCATATGCTCTGACTCAGTGACCAATGCATAGTGCTGTTTTTCTACAAGCTAGGATTCCCAGGTCCATGAATGAAGGGCTGAAAATGGAAATAACTTCTGTCATTATTACACTTAACAACCCAGTAGTGACATTTTTGCTTCTGTCCCTGTAACTTTGGATTCTTCCGGTCCAAAGTTCTTCCCTGCTTGATATCCAGCTCTTGTTTCATAATGAGAACTTTCAAATTTGAGAGTTTACTGGTCTTTTATTTTTTAATTATACTTTAAGTTCTGGGATACATGTGCAGAACGTGCAGGTTTGTTAACATAGGTATACATGTGCCATGGTGGTTTGCTGCACCCATCAACCCATCATCTACATTAGGTATTTCTCCTAATGCTATCCCTCCCCTAGCCTCCTACGCCCCCTCACAGGCCCTGGCGTGTGATGTTCCCCTCCGTGTGTCCATGTGTTCTCATTGTTCAACTCCCACTTATGAGCGAGAACATGTGGTGTTTGGTTTTCTGTTGCTGTGTTAGTTTGTTGAGAATAATGGTTTCCAACTTCATCCATGTCCCTGCAAAGGACATGAGCTCATCCTTTTTTATGGCTACATAGTATTCCATGGTGTATATGTGCCACATTTTCTTTATTCAGTCTATCATTGAGAGATTACCTAAGTCTTATTTGCGTCTACCTGGGCATGGTGTTTGGGGATACAAAAGCCAAGGAGAGATTGATACTGTATCTTTTAGGCTCCTCCTTTCACCTTCTACACCATACTATACTCAATAAGTAAGTAAGTTGTGTTTAAAATTTGACAATATCCATGACAAGTCATAGACTATTTCATTGTTATGAATCTCAGAATTTGCCAGAATTCTGCCAAAGGGCTCCTCTTTTCCTCCTCCCACAAAGCCACAGATATTGCAGTGCTTTGGGCTTGACATATTCCATTTAGCTTCGACTTGTGTCTTCCTTTTCCCGGTTGAGAGAGATTAAAAAAATACATTATTCTCTTCCTTTTCTTAATTTTTCAAGACAGCTGGACTATCGCCCAGTCATATTGGCAAATCACACCCCTAATTTATGCAGGAGATGATAAAGCTCCATCCTTGCTGATTTTTTAGAAGCATATGGAATAAAAAAGTGCCAGACCCAGCTTTGCACTCCAGGAACGTGTGGGAGAGCTTACCAGCACTTATGGGGTAAAGGAAAAGGAGTCATGACTGAAACTCATAAAATAGTCTAAGTTTTCTTTCATTACCCTCACTTTTGGGTATTTTAGGATATATTTCGTAAAGGGCTGTATTTATGAAAATATAATACATTGCTTAAAATGTACTAGGAATCTTGCTATTTAAAGGAAATTCTTTATTTTTTATATTTTGGAAATCTTTTCTGTAAGCCCCCCCTTTTTAAAATCAAATGCATATCATCATGATCTCCAATGATTTTGTTTGGTTTTATTTTTGGCAAGTAGAAATAGTTTCAATTCTTGCTTTGCAATTTGGATGCCTATTTTTATATGAATTTTAAAAATTGATGTTTAATAATTGTACCTATTTATGAGGTGCATAGTGATGTTTTGATGCATATAGTGTATAATGATCAGATCAGGATAATTAGTATATCCATTATTTCTAACATGTATCATTTCTTTATGTTGGGAACATTCAATATCCTCCTTCTAGCTATTTGAAACTATATATCACTGTTAACTATAGTCATCTTACAGTGCTATAGAACACTAGAACTCATTCCTCCTATCTAGCTGTAATTTTGTATCCTTTAACAAATCTCTCCTTCTCTCTTTCCTCTTTTTTAACAAAGGCTATTTCCTTTTTATACTCATAAGAATCTCGCCGGGCGCAGTGGCTCAAGCCTGTAATCCCAGCACTTTGGAGGCCGAGACGGGCGGATCACGAGGTCAGGAGATCGAGACCATCCTGGCTAACACGGTGAAACCCCGTCTCTACTAAAAAATACAAAAAACTAGCCTGGCGAGGTGGCGGGCGCCTGTAGTCCCAGCTACTCGGGAGGCTGAGGCAGGAGAATGGCGTAAACCTGGAAGGCGGAGCTTGCAGTGAGCCGAGATCCGGCCACTGCACTCCAGCCTGGGCGACAGAGCGAGACTCCGTCTCAAAAAAAAAAAAAAAAAAAAAAAAAAAAAAGAATCTCGTAAAGTTGGATTTCAGTTGAGCATTATTTAATTCAATGATAATTTTTAATTTAGAAAATTTGAAAAAAAGGACTATTAATTAGGTAAGATTTTATTTTCTACTGTAAGTACAATACTGCTTTCTTTAATGCTCTAATTGTTGCCTGGTGAAATACCCACCACAGAGGAAGTCTTGGATTTCCCTGGATACATTTTCACTCATAATCTATTGTATTTGTTATAATCATTAAACTGTGCACAGTTCTTTCAGCACCTGTTAACACTCATTCTCAGAACAACTCTCTTCATATTTGAAGTCAATGAGAGCTCTAGTTAATGGGGCAGATCTATTCCCTGGAGGTTATACCTAGTTTTGTCCTAGAAATAAATTTAAATATGTTGCCATAGTTCCAAGTATTAAGCAAGTTTTTATTAAAACAAATGTTCCTATCCACTCAAGTGGACAAAAGCACTGAGCCTGAGCAAGAAAACAAAGAACGCTCTAATCAATCAAGATGGGAGAAATTTCCGGATTAAAATTAGATTCTCTTACTCTACTTGTTTATACATATTGTATGTGAAATAATATAAATCTAAATGCAAACATGGTAGTGACTTGCAAAAATCACAGTGAAATTCTATGATATTAAAGTAGATTATCATTCATCATTGTTTATTCATTGTAGTGAAATATCTACTATATGCTTTCTAGCATATGATTTCCTCTTTCCTGCTAATAACTCTTTGATTTCCTCCAGGAAATACCCCTCCTTAATTTTCAGCCTTTTGCTTTAGGTTGGCCTCTTTCTCTGGGTCAAAAATTAAGCAAATTACCCAGATCTCATCCAACCAGCACATGCATTCTAATGGAGCAATGATTGGCTCAGGGATGGTTATGTGATCCTCTTAGAGTCAAGAAGTTACAATGATGCTTTTTTTTAGGTGTGCTGAAATAAATACTCAATTTTTCTTAGTGGGTATGAATCTTAGAGGATTAATGACAACGACTGGTGTAGTCATTTTTAATCACATGGTAAATACAGCCAACTGCAAGGAAACAGGTCCCAGAGAAATAGAGATAATGAAAATAAATGTTGGTATCATCATTTGAGCCCTAAATGAAGATAAACCTGAATATCTATCTCATGACTGCTTAGTTATTTGATGCAATAAGTCTTCCTCTCTCCTACTTTTTGGCTTAAGTTCTTATCAACAGTAGAAATAATTTATACTGGTATATTCATCAAAACTAATGGCACTGCTCTTGGCACTGGGGATATGAACAGAGATAAAACACTGCTTCTAACTTCAAGGAACTCACAGTCCTTGAGGGAACACACATGCATGTGTGCACACACACACACTGTCTCTCACACAATAGTCTAACAATAGATTTATGCGTGGAGTTTGGTAGCACAGATTGGGGTGAGAGTAGGTCAAAGAAACTTACCAAAAATGTGACATTGGAATTAATTCTTCAAAGAAATGCACATTTAAACCAAATTGGTCTGACTCCCATCTAAGTTTGGATTGCTTCGAAGGCACATGATTTACGTACAAGTACATATGATTTAAGTACAAGTATTAATAATTTACCTGGGAGTTGATCCTAGGAGGCATTAGTGAAGGAGAGGGGAAAATGAGACAAATGGGAGCAAAGCCAGTAAAAGGCACATTAATGAGTAAGTTTCTACAGGCACTGAGACTCAGTCCCATTGTTTTTCTTCGAGACTCCATGTTAGGGAAGGCATGGCATTTATCCATGCCTCCCTTCTCTTATTGGTTGAGTGTTGCCCCTGGTATCTTATTGCCCTTTTTGCACTTTGCACTTTGGTACCTTATTGCACTTATTGGCTTCACCTATGTGCAATGGAATATGCTTCTTTGTTACCAGAGAATGTCTTCAGGAAGAAGAAAACAGGCATATGTTATCAGTGTGCTGGGAATCAGCTGCAGGAAAACTGAGGCGAGCCTAAGGGAGAATAGGTAGCATCAACTTCATCTGCTACAACTCCAATTGTGTGTGGGAATTCTTATCCCCTCTCTAGTATTTCCATGAATTCCCAGAGACATGTATCTTGACACTTTTCATTAGTTCTGAGTTACTAACTCCAGTGATTGTTCTATCTCCTTGTAGCTGCTTTTTTCCTTCAGTGTGTGTCAAACCCCTTGGGAAGTTCTGTCACTGATCTTTAATTTCCACCAAACACTTATAGAAGATGTCTTTGCAGGGTGTGTTTTGATGGACGTATGTGTGTAGCACCATCTTCAGAAAATGAGGTAATGGGAGAGTTTTCATCTCTGCAATCAAAATACTTTGAAGTTTAGTGTGACACATTCTTGGTCTTTAAAAGTCCTAGGTTGCTCCAGGAATTGGACTCATCTCTGCAGCAAGCAGACCTAATAGACATCTATAGAACTCTCCACCCCAAATCAACAGAATATACATTCTTCTCAGCACCACATCATACTTACTCCAAAATTGACCACATAATTGGAAGTAAAGCACTCCTCAGCAAATGTACAAGAACAGAAATTATAACAAACTGTCTCTCAGACCACAGTGCAATCAAACTAGAACTCAGGACTAAGAAACTCAATCAAAACCGCTCAACTACATGGAAACTGAACAACCTGCTCCTGAATGACTACTGGGTACATAACGAAATGAAGGCAGAAATAAAGATGTTTTTTGAAACCAATGAGAACAAAGATACAACATACCAGAATCTCTGGGACACATTTAAAGCACTGTGTAGAGGGAAATTTATAGCACTAAATGCCCACAAGAGAAAGCAGGAAGATCTAAAATTGACACTCTAACATCCAATTAAAAGAACTAGAGAAGCAAGAGCAAACACATTCGAAAGCTAGCAGAAGGCAAGAAATAACTAAGATCAGAGCAGAACTGAAGGAGATAGAGACAGAAAAAACCCTCCAAAAAATCAATGAATCCAGGAGTTGGTTTTTTGAAAAGATCAACAAAATTGACAGACCACTAGCCAGACTAATAAAGAAGAAAAGAGAGAAGAATCAAATCGACGCAATTAAAAATGATAAAGGGGATATCACCACCGACCCCACAGAAATACAAACTACCATCAGAGAATACTATAAACACCTCTACGCAAATAAACTGGAAAATCTAGAAGAAATGGATAATTTCCTGGACACTTACACTCTTCCAAGACTAAACCAGGAAGAAGTTGAATCCCTGAATAGACCAATAGCAGGCTCTGAAATTGAGGCAACAATTAATAGCCTACCAACCAAAAAAAGTCCAGGACCAGATGGATTCACAGCTGAATTCTACCAGAGGTACAAGGAGGAGTTGGTACCATTCCTTCTGAAACTATTCCAATCAATAGAAAAAGAGGGAATCCTCCCTAACTCATTTTATGAGGCCAACATCATCCTGATACCAAAGCCTGGCAGAGACACAACAAAAAAAGAGAATTTTAGACCAATATCCCTGATGAACATCGATGCAAAAATCCTCAATAAAATACTGGCAAACCGGATTCAGCAACACATCAAAAAGCTTATCCACCATGATCAAGTGGGCTTCATCCCTGGGATGCAAGGCTGGTTCAACATTCGCAAATCAATAAACATAATCCAGCATATAAACAGAACCAAAGACAAGAACCACATGATTATCTCAATAGATGCAGAAAAGGCTTTTGACAAAATTCAACAGCCCTTCATGCTAAAAACGCTCAATAAATTCGGTATTGATGGAACGTACCTCAAAATAATAAGAGCTATTTATGACAAACCCACAGCCAATATCATACTGAATGGGCAAAAACTGGAAGCATTCCCTTTGAAAACTGGCACAAGACAGGGATGCCCTCTCTCACCACTCCTATTCAACATGGTGTTGGAAGTTCTGGCTAGGGCAATCAGGCAAGAGAAAGAAATCAAGGGTATTCAGTTAGGAAAAGAAGAAGTCAAACTGTCCCTGTTTGCAGATGACATGATTGTATATTTAGAAAACCCCATTGTCTCAGCCCAAAATCTCCTTAAGCTGATAAGCAACTTCAGCAAAGTCTCAGGATAAAAATTAATGTGCAAAAATCACAAGCATTCTTATACACCAGTAACAGACAAACAGAGAGCCAAATCAGGAATGAACTTCCATTCACAATTGCTTCAAAGAGAATCAAATACCTAGGAATCCAACTTACAAGGGATGTAAAGGACCTCTTCAAGGAGAACTACAAACCACTGCTCAGTGAAATAAAAGAGGACACAAACAAATGGAAGAACATACCATGCTCATGGATAGGAAGAATCAATATCGTGAAAATGGCCATACTGCCCAAGGTAATTTATAGATTCAATGCCATCCCCATCAAGCTACCAATGAGTTTCTTCACAGAATTGGAAAAAACTGCTTTAAAGTTCATATGGAACCACAAAAGAGCCCGCATCTCCAAGACAATCCTAAGTCAAAAGAACAAAGCTGGAGGCATCACGCTACCTGACTTCAAACTTTACTACAAGGCTACAGTAACCAAAACAGCATGGTACTGGTACCAAAACAGAGATATAGACCAATGGAACAGAACAGAGTCCTCAGAAATAATACCACACATCTACAGCCATCTGATCTTTGACAAACCTGAGAGAAACAAGAAATGGGGAAAGGATTCCCTATTTAATAAATGGTGCTGGGAAAATTGGCTAGCCATAAGTAGAAAGCTGAAACTGGATCCTTTCCTTACTCCTTATACGAAAATTAATTCAAGATGGATTAGAGACTTAAATGTTAGACCTAATACCATAAAAATCCTAGAGGAAAACCTAGGTAGTACCATTCAGGACATAGGCATGGGCAAAGACTTCATGTCTAAAACACCAAAAGCAACAGCAGCAAAAGCCAAAATTGACAAATGGGATCTCATTAAACTAAAGAGCTTCTGCACAGCAAAACAAACTACCATCAGAGTGAACAGGCAACCTACAGAATGGGAGAAAATTTTTGCAATCTACTCATCTGACCAAGGGGTAATATCCAGAACCTACAAAGAACTCAAACAAATTTACAAGAAAAAAACAAACAACTCCATTAAAAAGTGGGCAAAGGATATGAACAGACATTTCTCAAAAGAAGACATTCATACAGCCAACAGACACATGAAAAAATGCTCATCATCACTGGCCATCAGAGAAATGCAAATCAAAACCACAATGAGATACCATCTCACACCAGTTAGAATGGCAATCATTAAAAAGTCAGGAAACAACAGGTGCTGGAGAGGATATGGAGAAATAGGAACACTTTTACACTGTTGGTGGGATTGTAAACTAGTTCAACCATTATGGAAAACAGTATGGCGATTCCTCAAGGATCTAGAACTAGATGTACCATATGACCCAGCCATCCCATTACTGGGATATACCCAAAGGATTATAAATTATGCTGCTATAAAGACACATGCACACGTATGTTTATTGCAGCACTATTCACAATAGCAAAGACTTGGAATCAACCCAAATGTCCATCAGTGACAGATTGGATTAAGAAAATGTGGCACATATACACCATGGAATACTATGCAGCCATAAAAAAGGATGAGTTTTTGTCCTTTGTAGGGACTTGGATGCAGCTGGAATCCATCATTCTTAGCAAACTATCACAAGAACAGAAAACCAAACACCGCATGTTCTCACTCATAGGTGGGAACTGAACAATGAGATCACTTGGACTCAGGAAGGGGAACATCACACACCGGGGCCTATCATGGGGAGGGGGGAGGGGGGAGGGATTGCATTCGGAGTTATACCTGATGTAAATGACGAGTTGATGGGTGCAGCACAGCAACATGGCACAAGTATACATATGTAACAAACCTGCACGTTATGCACACGTACCCTACAACTTAAAGTATAATAATAATAAATAAATTAAAAAACAAAAAAAACAAAAAAAAAACCCAGCAAAATGGATTAAAAAAAAAAAAAAAAAAGTCCTAGGTTGCTATCCTGGGCTGAGTTCCTTAGAAGCAAAACCTGAGACAGGGATTCTTGGGCAATGATTTACTGCTGAAGTGGCTCCAGTGAAATATTTAAGGTAATGAAGAAAATAGGATAAGACAAGGAAAAAGCTGGGCAAAAAAATCAGCTGGGTTTAAATTCTCATTTAAACCAAATCGGTCTGATTCCTACCTAAGTTTGGATTCCTTTGAAAGCATACTCTGATACATGATTTAAGTACAAGTATTAATAATTTATCTGGGAGTTAATCCCAGGAGGCACAACTGAAGAAGAAGAAGGAAAAGAAGAACACTTATAGAAGTGTATTCAACTGATGCCACAGTGAGCTCCAGAATAAAAATGGAACCCATAGTTTTATTCTTGACAAGGACAAGGGGGAAGGCTTTTTGTACCTCTTTATTAGTCAGTCACTGGCTACTGGCTACCACTTGGAGGAAGGGTGTAACCTGTCAGGCATTTCTGGACTAGGGTGCTCCTGTTGTTAACAGACAGTTTTCAAAAGAGTGCAGCCGTGAGCTGGTGACCATTGGCTGACAAAAACTGAGGGAAAGGTGCACCTGCACTTGCTTGTCACAGGGGATCTGTGTGGGTTACTGTACTGACAGCTCTCCTATGGTCACTCGGCCATGACAATTTATCACTCACTGATCAGACTTCTCAAGGCCCTTGCCTTCTGCAAAGCTACTCATCTCCGTTCATCTCTCAAGACTTCCACTGCTTCATTACTTTATGTTCATCCTTATTGTTTCTACATGCAAATCAACTTTTTTTTTTTATTATACTTTAAGTTCTAGGATACATGTGCACAACGTGCAGGTTTGTTACATAGTATATAAAACAATTTAGCTCTCAATCCCCTTCTAAAATAAGGCCTTCCTTCACCTACCAAAAGGCTCATAAATGTGCTTAGCCAGCCAACGAATCACTTGCTAGGCTTGCTCTGGTTCTTGTGTAATTTCATGGAACAGCTGAGAGAGACCCTGAAAGTTCAGCCTTCCCCTGTCCTCACCCATTTCTGAGTATGGAGCTATAGTTTATCACTGAAATGAAGGCCTGTGTTAGCAGAAGAGTTGATAGTCCATTTTGATTTTAAACAGCAATGATTTTATCTCTGCAAAAGATGAATAGCAACTAGATGAGACAAGTTTGCTTTTGGTGGATAAAGTGGCATGTGCAAAGATGCAGAGAAGTGCACATGGTAAACTTAGGAAATGTGCAAATAGTTGAGTTTGGCTTAAAGTCAAGTTGTGGATGGAAGCAGGGCCATGGGAAATTAGCTGCAAAGGCAGGTAGGTAGAAATCAGAGCTTTAATGATTCAACACATGATGGCAAGGAGTTTAGGCCTTGCCCTGAAAGCATGATGCCACATTCAGATTGGCATTTTAAAAAGATCATTCTGTCTGTATTTGCTCTGTGAAACATGGAGCAAGGCAACACAGGCGCAGGGACAT